TTTCATAACGTTCGAATAATTTCAACGGATTGCCGTTGAAATTCGTCAAACGTTATTTCCAACGGAAATCCGTTGGAATATACGTGGAAAATTTCCAACTCAAATACCCGTTGATATGCCGTTGGAAATTTCCAACGGATTTCTAACGGATGAATCCGTTAGACGTCCGTTGGAAATCCGTTAGAAATGCATTGGAATTATTCCAACGGTATACCGTTGGAAATCCGTTGGAAAAATTACAACGGATTAATCCGTTGGAAAAATCCGTTGGAATTTCGCAGTTTGGAATCACATTTTCGTTATTCGTTTAATTCTATCAGTGAACATAAATCCGATTATTAAATATAGAAAACGTAGTGTGTTACAATCTAAATATACTCTCGAAATGGTAACATTTATATTTTTCCGATATATTTTGGATAGTTTTCTATTTATATAACCATTTTAGATTGTTTTCTATTTAATAGATATTACATGAAGATATACACTCACATCCATCGTATCTCTTTTAATAAATACATCTATATATACATGCCACTTTGGATGTATATATCTCTTCAACAAGTTTTAATTCGACTTCTATTTATCGATATATATACAGCAGAGTTAAAAAGCTACAAGCCCTCTTACCCACGATAAGTTACTCTTTCTGTTTATTTGTATTTACTCGATTATTTTAAATTTTCAATTGTTTATATGATTATTTAATTTATTCAGACATATTAATATATTGTATATGTTATATAATTATAATTTATTATTATTATGTACAGACTCCCCGTGGGCTGTGGGATCTAGTACAATACGTTAGGTACTTGCGGACATTTTATGTGCTTATATTTTATGTGCAAGTATGTTTACGCCATATATAATATATATCGATATATATATATATGTGCGTATAAATCTATATTTATCATTACCCTACTCAGAATGGTATATGACAAGACATGTATATATTTAGATAAAATGTGTGTGTACGTACATATGACATGGACAATCATATAGCAGGACATGTATATATTTATATAATATAACAGGTCATATATATATATATATATATAGATAATATATGTTATTAGTGAATGGGGTTAGATATATACATGATGCCTGCCTATAATTATCATTATCATTATATCAATAATAGAATCCACTTCCCATTTTATACGCATGATGTGTACCACAGATTCATGCACTCGAAGCATTTTGCGGGAGCCGCCCATTGTTTATACACCCAACTCTGTATGGACTTGCTACGAATTTAAACTTCGCTAAAGCATTGGGTTATAACTAATGAATAATAATTTATACACATGATTTGCTTTTGAATTTGGAAAGGCGATGGGCTAGGTATACTTTAATTGAAGATTAAATAAAATTAAAAAAGGGGATTATTATAGTGATTAAGCCATGACCTTGAAACATGACAGCCACATGACCCCCAACATGCCTAAAAATATATGTATATATATATACCATAGTTTATAAATTGGATAAAATTGGAGATACGGGTGCTTTAATGAGATTTTAAAGTCTTTACACTGTTTATATTATGTTCTTCTCATATTTGATTCAAGGATTTACGGATATGATTAGAGATGATATTTTGGGTTTTGATTCACATTAATTTTTACATTTTTTAAATTTATATCAATATTTTTATAATTTTTGGCTCGAGTTTATTTTTATAAAAAAAATTATTTAATTATTATTTTCGGTTATTTTTATACATAATTTGAATTTATTTAATTTAACCTACTAGTACTATATATATATTCAAATATTATTTTATTTAATTAGATTCAATTTTATATACTATGATCACGTGATGATGGGTTTTGATTTAAGGGATTCTTTTTTGTTGTCTGTGGTTTTAAAACATAGAGTATACGGTAAAAAAAAGGTCCTTATACACATGTCCATCAAGGGTCGGTTCATGTAATTAAATTAAATGGAAACTTTAATCTATATGCGATATTGAAATAATACACAACGTTATAGCCTCACCTTGGCATCATTACTAATTACAACTTTTAAAAGGAAAAGCTAAAGAGGTTTTTTGTAATAACGAATAAGTTTTAAATTTCATTTTGTGCTGTGTATTATAATATAACCCAAGGTTTTGAGTTCCAAAGTAATGGCGATTTGTTTACATCGTTTATTTACGATAATACCCTCTGGGGAAGCTCGAAACAAGGATGGAAGTGGAACTGTTTTCGGTGATCACTTGTGTTGGTTGAGAAAGAGAGGAATATATTGGGAACTGTTTTTCGAGGGAACAGAAAGGAAAATAACATCGACTTGTCTATGTCAAATCACTGTTTGGAGCACCACCGTCGCCATCATCGTCTCCTTCCTCTTCTTCAGACAGTGTTCTGTTCATTCCTCACTCTCCCTCATCCACTTCCCCTGTTCCTGACGTGCCAACTCAATCTCTCTCTCTCTCTCTCTAGACACCATTCGCACTTCTTTTGGATGGAAAGAAACTGGTGATGTCTCTGGATTCTTTAGGTTGTGTCGTAACATTCACATGAACACGCCCCATGTTTTATAAAACCATTTCCTTCAAACTTGGTCTGAATATCTATAGAGTTTTTGTGTACCCTTAGCTTATGTACGCAAAAGGCAAGAGGGTTTCCCCGGAAACGCGGATTGACGAAGACGACGACCGGAGACTCTGAACAAGAGAGAGTCTCTCTCCAAGAGAAGACTGGTAGGGAATCAGAGGGTTCGAATACGCTAGACTCTCCGAAAGAAACAGAGGTTTTGGATTTCGTGAATGTACTATAAGCATGTGTGGCCGTTTGGAAGAAGAATCCTATTAAGAATTTATGGAATGAAATAGTTAAAAAAAAAAAAAAAAAAAAAAAAAAAAAAAAAAAAAAAAAAAAAAAAAAAAAAAAAAAAAAAAAAAAAAAAAAAAAAAAAAAAAAAAAAAAAAAAAAAAAAAAAAAAAAAAAAAAAAAAAACATTTGTCGGTTTCACCATGATGTTGTAACTTCAACAAAACTGTGAATTATATAATAAGCGTTTAGAGTTAACTTGCACAAGAGGCAACAGCTTCAGGAGGCTCGGCGGCGTTGTGGAAGGTAGACAATTTGGTAATAGCAAGAGCCTGCCCGAAGAGCGAAGCCCGTGTCGATTTTGATATCCTGACTTCGACCAAGTCCCCGACCACTGGATTCCTCCGACCGTTCGGATGACTGTCTCTTTCCAACAGCGGTTCGATGACGAACGAAACACGGTGGCCTTTGTCGCTTTTCCCCATGAGTTCTGTTTCGGGGGCTCGCTTGTTCGGCCCTTCCACAAGAACTAACTGTGTGGTTCCGACCTGAAAAAAAAATTAAAAAAAAAAAAAAAAAAAAAAAAAACATTTGTCGGTTTCACCATGATGTTGTAACTTCAACAAAACTGTGAATTATATAATAAGCGTTTAGAGTTAACTTGCACAAGAGGCAACAGCTTCAGGAGGCTCGGCGGCGTTGTGGAAGGTAGACAATTTGGTAATAGCAAGAGCCTGCCCGAAGAGCGAAGCCCGTGTCGATTTTGATATCCTGACTTCGACCAAGTCCCCGACCACTGGATTCCTCCGACCGTTCGGATGACTGTCTCTTTCCAACAGCGGTTCGATGACGAACGAAACACGGTGGCCTTTGTCGCTTTTCCCCATGAGTTCTGTTTCGGGGGCTCGCTTGTTCGGCCCTTCCACAAGAACTAACTGTGTGGTTCCGACCTGAGAATCGTAACAAGGACCTGTTGTCTGGCGGAAGGCCTCAATGAGTTCGGATAGACGCCTCTGCTTCACATCGTCCGGGACATCGTCCGTATAGTTTCTGTGGGCGTGGGTTTTCTCCCTCATGCTATATGCGAACATGTACGCCATGTCGTACTTAACCTCTCTTACCAGGCTCAGCGTGTCTTGGTGTTCCTCCTCGGTTTCTCCACAGAATCCTGCAATTCAGAATTACGATCTTCAGAACCGAAAAGATAGAATGAAATGGTCGGTAACCGGGTTTGTTGCTTTGTTTGGAGGCATGTTAATACAGGGGAAATAATGGGAAATTCTCAAGTTTTATCTTTTGGGAGCCTTACCGCATATAAAATCACTTGTCAGAGCAACGTCCGGGATGATACTCCTTATCTTATGAACAAGATCCAAGTAAGCTTCCCTTGTATACCCTCTGCGCATTCGTTCAAGTATTCTGCTATTGCCGGACTGTGCAGGCAGATGGATAAGTTTGCAGATATTGTGTCTCTCCCGCATCAGATACAGCAACTCGTCTGGAAAATCTTTAGGATGTGGTGACGTAAACCTGAATCGCATCTCGGGGAACTCCGAGGAAAGCCGGTCCAAGAGATCGGCAAATCGTAGACCCATGTTCTTAACTTTACTCATGCTGGAAAAACCGTCACTGTATCTCCAATTAGTGCCCGACTCGATCTCCTTCTCGACCCCAGATGCATCATTGTAACTATTTACATTCTGTCCTAAAAGCGTCACTTCTTTCACGCCCTCGTTCCAGAGCTCCCTAACCTCCTGTACAATGGACTCCACTGGACGTGAGCGCTCTCTGCCTCTTGTAAAAGGAACAATGCAGAAAGAACACATATTGTTGCAACCTCTCATTATCGAGACAAAGGCAGTAATGGCATTTTTTGAGATCCTGACGGGGGTAATATCAGCATAAGTCTCTTCGAGGGAGAGAAGTGTGTTGATTCCCTTTTGTCCGTAGTCTACCTCATCCAATAACCTCGGAAGATCTCTATAAGCATCAGGACCGCAAACCACATCAACCATTTTGTCTGAATCGAGAATCTTGTCCTTTAGTCTTTCGGCCATGCATCCCAAGACAACAACTTTAGGAGGCCGGAAGGATTGGGCCCTTCCCTTTGCGACGTTGCTCTTCCAGTGCCGTTTCAGGAACCAGAAATAGTTAAGCCTCTGCCACACTCTTTGCTCAGCATTGTCCCTGATAGCACAAGTGTTGATGAAAATGACCTCTGCACTCTCGGGGACATCCACAACGTCTTTGTAGCCGGCGTTCCTCATTATGGAAAGGACAATCTCCATGTCGTTAATATTCATTTGACATCCATAAGTTTCATGATAAATTCGACCCTTTGAGGCAATCTCAGAATCTGGTGCATATCTAGTCCAAGAAAGAACATCAAACATTCATATGGTAAGGTATAAGCAAAATCCAAAATTTAGGTGGACGGCAATAATAACAGGTAGTTTTCTGAAACATGAAGGTTTCTGAACTCGAATAGAACCACGGAGCAGGTTAAAGTAGCAGAAGCTAGTTCCTGGAACACAGCCAATTCTGCAATTCCAGCGATTTCCGGAAAATTTTATCTTAAAACCCTAAGCATTTCCAATCGCGTAACCAATTCCAAGTAACAAATTTCAGAGAATTCCTCAAAACCAAAACTTCTAGTTCATTTCAATTCCTTAAGCGATACGCCCCAGAACATCTGAATATGTAAACGGAAAATTCAGGGCAGCAAATTCAAGACTTACCCAGCTTCGGTTTGGGGAGTGGTAAGAGGAGCTTGAGCTTGGGCTTGAGCTTTGGCGACGAAGTCATGGAGCCCAGGACCTTCAAACTTTCCGGAACCGGCACTCTGAGAGACAGAGAAGCTTCTCGAGAGACCGATTACGAAGCCATTCTTCTTGTTCACCAGCTTCTGCTGCGTGAGGCGTCGGCCGCCGTAGCAGCGTGGCGGAGCAGCCGCCGAGGGTAGATTCGATGAGAGAAACCCGAGACTGAAACAACGTCCCTTCGGAATTCTGAAGCGGAAAGAACAACCGTGAGGTTGACTCAGAATGGAGGAGAGAGACGAGAGAGAAGAAGACGCCATTAGAGATGAGCCCCGAAGGAACAACAACGGGAGGCTAGGGATTACATTACGCAATCAACTCCTCCGAGTCCGATCGCCGCTCGAAACGCTGCGTTTCATATCATCGACCTTCAGGGGCAAAATTGGCATTTCGGCCTCAGTAGTATTCTCAACTTATCGATTGACGACCATTTCCGGAAAAAGCTACGAGGAGAACGGGAAAAATGTCGTCAGCGATGGTGAAGAAATGGAGAAGTTCGAGACAAGTTCTGAGATTTGGATGGCAATCTCTGCTCGATCTTCGATCGGATAGGGGTTCGATTTTCCGGGCTACATCAGGTTTGATCGTTTTCGTCAATTTTCCTCTAATTTGCATGATCATTCAAATTTTCTACGTCTTTCCGGGGAAAAAAAAACGAAGCGATCGCGTTAATACTAAGCTTTTGGCGATAGTTTTTTGTTTGAATCCTTAGAAATCGTCTTGATTTAGATCATGCAAACGTGGGGATACAATATTTTTTTCGGCATTTGAGTCTCAAATGTTTAATCTATGGATTCAGGCTTTATGAATGGCTGCGTAGAGAAAAGCAAGCTTCATGAGAGATTCAATGAGAACCAGAACATTAGGTTTTATTCATGTTTTCGTCCTGTGACGGAGTACAGAAGTTCTCAGAGAAGTTTGGGAATTCGGCAATATAAGTTATTCGGGTCATCAGCTTCGAAAATTCAGAGGAACCCTACATTTTCATCGCTGGATTCCGATGATGTAAGCTACTTCAAGGAGATATTGGGCGAGAAGAATGTAATTCAGGACGAAGAGAGGCTTGAGACTGCCAATACAGATTGGATGCACAAGTACAAGGGATTTAGCAAGTTGATGCTCCTCCCTAGAAGCACTGAAGAGGTCATTTATATTTCATCGAATATCTTGAAATTGTTTTCTTGATCACAATGAACTGTTTGTCTTATGGATGTTTGTGACGTGTAGGTGTCTCGTATACTTCAGTTTTGCAATGGAAGGCGCTTAGCCGTTGTTCCTCAAGGGGGGAACACTGGTCTTGTTGGTGGAAGTGTCCCCGTCTTTGATGAGGTGATGCAGCTTTTCTACTGATTTTGAGAGGATTATTGATTGTCAAAAATGGTGGATTTATGGTTTAAAGCTATAGCATGAGGAAGATGAGAAATGGATCACTGAATTTGTATGATGGAAAATCGAAGCTAGACATGAAAACATGAAGAGAACATTTAGGAGAAATGAGAGGACATGGCTGTCTTAAATTCAGTTCAGAAATTTCTGCCTTTTACTTCAGAATCATGACACTTTTCCGGCTCCTTCGCAGGTGATTATCAATGTCAGTTTGATGAATAAAGTCTTATCTTTTGATGAGGTAATGTGCTTCTCACTGTGAGTGAAACGATTGCTATAAAGCTTTCCTCTTTCTCTTTATATGTATATATTCGATGAAGTAACAATCTCACTGAATTCCTTTTAACAGAAACAAGAGGCTGCAATGTCGTTGTTTTAGTGTAAAATTGTTTGACCTGCGAGTTTCCCAAAATTCTCCTGATGTATTCCATAGAAGATTAGAACCTTTTAATCTAATATCTATAGCTTCATAGATTTTAATATCTTATTCCTTTGAGTTACGCCATCATATATTGGATGATGAGATGAATTTCTACTCCTTCAGGTAAGTGGAATCTTGGTGTGTGAAGCCGGATGCATCTTGGAAAATCTGGTATCTTTCCTGGACACCAAGGGGTACTTGACCTCTTCACTGTCTTTTCCATTTTTTTCCTTTTTTTTAAAACTATGAGAATGTTAATGTTTCTTTAATTACCCATTATCATGCTCAAGAACCATTTCTGCTTATTACATTTTAGGGACTACTTTATGCGCAAAAGCTCTTCACAAGGATACATAAATTGAAACTTAACATAAGATTTGTTCAGTTTTTTTCTTTTGTCAACTCAACTAAATGGGTTTTGTTAGATCTACCACAACGCTTGTTTGAACAAAAAATTTATGCTTCCACAGATTTGTTATGCCGCTGGACTTAGGGGCAAAAGGAAGCTGCCAAATTGGTGGAAATGTCTCAACTAATGCTGGTGGTTTGCGCCTTATTCGTTATGGATCACTTCATGGAACTGTACTGGGTAATGACAATTCTAGTTTCATCTGTGCAAGCTGATTGTGAAAACAATATTACCATCCAGCTTTATGCTCTTTCAAATTCTATCAAAGGATAATCTTGTAGAAATTTTGGAAAGTAAGCACCTCGCAGGTTTTTATGTATGGATCTGAAATGTAGAAGGCTTTTTTGTTAGTATTGAGCATATCTGAGGTACATTGCTCTTTAATTTTTCTTCAATCTCTCAGGTCTGGAAGCGGTCTTAGCAGATGGCAAAGTGCTTGACATGCTTGGAACTTTGCGCAAAGACAACACAGGGTATGACTTGAAACATTTGTTTATAGGTAAGCATTCTTTTATTGCCTTTACATTGCTTCATTGTTTAAGAATCACTCATGTTACAAAAGAAACTAAACGTTATAATCCGCCCCTTTCTCGCCGCCACAGGTAGTGAAGGATCATTGGGAGTTGTAACTAAAGTATCCATTCTTACCCCGCCAAAGATGTCTTCTGTAAATTTAGCCTTTCTTGCATGCCAAGATTATCTCAGCTGCCAGGTACAATGTCTCCTGTAAATTTATGGCTGTGGAAAACATGTTTAGTATGTTGAACTGTATAAAGACTATAAATGCATCTCAGATTCTCTAATAGCATCTATTATTCCGCAAACTTGTGGAAAAATAATGAGATGGAATGCCTGTTGATTTTGAGAATCAACTGGCGACCAAGGTGAACTCTTGTCTCTCATTAAGCTCCTTTGTTATTTTTTTTCAGAAACTTCTGGTAGAAGCAAAGAGAAATCTTGGGGAGATACTATCTGCCTTTGAGTTTCTAGATGACAAGTCTATGGAGTTGGTAAGATTTTCGGGAACTAAATGATTTTGCTCTGTATTTTTCCTTACCCATTCCGGTTTATTCTTTTATCAGGTAGTGAAACACCTGGATGGTGTACGCAATCCATTGCCTTCCTCCTCAGAGAAATTTTATATCCTGATAGAAACAACTGGGAGCGATGACAATTATGACAGGTGAACTGTTCATCTCTGGTAACAAATATGCTTCTCCTATTTCAAAATGTTTCCAATTCGGTCATTGAATTGTCAGTTAATGAGGCTTTATTCAGATCCCTTTGAGAGTTTGTTCTGATTAATACAGGGAGAAGCTTGAGGCTTTCCTGCTAAGGTCGCTGGAAAAGGGTTTAGTTTCTGATGGTGTGATTGCTCAAGACATTAATCAAGCTTCTTCATTTTGGCGAATTCGGGAGGTAAAAAACTGTTTTCATCTGTCTTTTGTTATCTTTTCTTTTTTGTCATCCTCCTATGGAAGTTTGAAGTTGCACGAGAAAACGATGCTCTTCCCTTTTATAACTATAGATCTGACTTTTAACTTTGAGATGATTCCGCAGGGCATAACTGAGGCATTGCAGAAAGCAGGGGCTGTTTACAAGTACGACTTGTCATTACCCGTTGAACAAATATACAATCTTGTCGAGGATATGCGCGCAAGAATGGGTAAGAAATATTTGCGAGTTCTATTGACCTTAACCAAAGATTTGTATTTTTCCTTGTCAAAATCAGTTAAAGCACAATGCTTTCTTGAATGTGTATAATAAATTAGTATAACTCTGGGTTAAGTTTTCATACATATTGTTCAGGTGATGTGGCAAATGTTGTTGGATATGGCCACCTTGGAGATGGAAATCTGCATCTGAACATCTCCGCTCGGAAGTATGACGATGAGGTACGTACTATTGAATATCCATAATAATAAATATCTCAGAGAAACTGCATGCATGCATGTGCATGATTGGTTGAGCAATTACAACACATGCTTGCAGATTGTGTCACTAATAGAGCCGTATGTGTACGAGTGGACGGCAAAGCACCGTGGAAGCATCAGCGCGGAACATGGCTTAGGTCTAATGAAAGCTAAGGAAATCTTCTACAGCAAATCCCCCGAAAGCGTGAGTGTTATATTTAATTAAACTGCTCCTGAAATTATTCATTCTCTGTGTAAAAAAAATTCTTGTTTTTTGTATTGGTGGGAGATGCAGGTGGGATTAATGGCTTCCATAAAAAAGATGATGGATCCCAAAGGAATCCTTAACCCATACAAAGTTCTTCCTCAGTCCCTCTTCTCTCTCTAAGGTAACGACCCATTTGACTACCCATTTCGTTGGACCACTATTAATCTCTTGTGGATAATTTGACTTGTGAATCTGTAAAAAAACATGGGAAAATCCAAGGGTTTAGATCCAGACATCAGGTTCTTTAGTTTCCTGGATGTGGCTATGTCATGGTGTCTTAAATTCTGCTAACAGAACAGGTCCCTGTTTAATAGAAAAGCCCTCTGGTCTGACGAGATTGGACAATCTCCTCCAACGGAACACACCAAAACCTCAGGTTCTTGTATCATCTGTCTGTATAGTAACTGGATCAGCAATAAACAAAACCTGAAAGCTCAGAAATGAAGAAACGGCTGCAACTTATTGAAGCCAAAGTGGATTTTGCAACTTAAATCTTTGATGATTCATGGTCATGGGCAGAGATCAGATACAACCAAGAAAATGGGAATGACCCAAAGAAGAGAACCTGCATCTTATAACAATCTACCACCGAAAAAAAATAATCTGCCTCCATTTGCATAAGCTTGTTTTTGTTTTGATGATCGCCTGCAGAAAAAAAAATTGCAAATGTTTCTAGCTCTTTCTTGACCATTCTAACAAAGCCTAAGGCAACGTTATATGTACACAAGAAGAAGAAAAAACACTAAGAGCGATGTTACCTAATGATCACTCCATAGCAACTTTGGCCCCAACGGCCTTCAACTTCTCTATGATCTTTTCCGCTTCATCCTTTGCGACTCCCTTCTTCAACAGCGTCGGCGCCTTCTCCACCAAATCCTTCGCCTCCTTCAGCCCCAGATCCGTTACCGCTCTCACCTCTTTTATCACCTTAATCTTCGAAGCCGCGTCGAAGGCTTCGAGCTTCACGTCGAACACCGTCTTCGCCTCCTCCTTCTTCTCCTGCCCCTTCGCACCGGCGCCGGCGACGCCCTTCCCGGCTCCTGCCCCCGGAAACGCCATCCCCGGCATCATCATCGCCATCACCGGCATCTCACCGACATCCAGCTTCTGCCTCAGGACCTCCGTCAGGTCCATCGTCTCCAACAGCGTGAGACTCGAGAGCTCATCGACGATTTTGGATACTCTCTCCGACGGCGGAACCGGCGAAGAGAACTTCCGCGATTGGATCGAAGCGAATCGAGCGGAAGAAGGATTTGAATTGGTCGATTGGAAAACGCGAGACAAACGCGAGGAGACTATTCGTAGATTCCGCATAGTTTAGTCTACGACTGGTCTATCTAATGGCGATCGATGTCGGCTTAGTTGAAGCTTCGATGGAGATTTCATTGCAGAGCGTCCATGGCCTGCGAAGCTGAAATGGTCAAACGCATAAACCCTAACCTCAGGCGTCAGAAAAAGGCCTTACTGGATTACTTCATCGAATTGGGCCTCAGAAATCTTTCAATTGGGCCCAAATAAGGGTCTTCTTGAGTCGAAATATAATATCTGGGCCTTCTAGAAGGGCCTTATTAGGCCATTGAATCTTATATTGGGCCTTAGTAAAGAGTTTGTTGGGTAACAAAATCAGGAATTGGACCATATAAAAATGCCTCATTGGGCCACTGAATCATGACTTACCTCTTTGTTGGGCAAATGAATCATGAATTGGACGGACCATAGAGAAGACCCTAAGGTTATGAAAACAAACCTATTGAAATTGGACCTAATCGTGTCTATGTACCCATTGTTTGGCCCCACATTCGCGGATAATTAAATATGGTAATTAAATACACGATTTTCATTTTAAAGTTTTGTTTTATTTACTGCGCGGGTTATTTTTTTATTTATTCTTTTTGTTTGATACGAAGTTAGTAAAAAAGTTTATGCTAATTTATTTGATTTTGAAAAAATATAATGGTATAATTAAATTATATATTTAAAGAAGAAAAAAATAAGAAAATATGTATATGATTACATCAACTATGTATAAGGTTGACATCAATTATTTGTTCTACGTATCTTTATTGTTGTTCTGTTTTTTTCCTCTTTTACAAATTTATTTATAAGGTAATATAAAATTAGATTCTTAAATATTAATTATAGTTATAATCTGTTTTGAAAATATATAATTAATATATTTTATGTGACAACCCAAGATATCGTAGGAGGGCGGGCAGTGACCGCCGGTGTGAGAGACATTGACAATGGGCGGTTCCTGACGAACTTCTGGGTAGGGGATATAAGGATGAATCGAACGCACCCGAATGAGAAGGATTCGGGAGCTGTGTAGGTATGAGACTACACAGTCAAAGATAACTTAAAAGAATTAATTGAGCTACTCATAGCAACAAGATGCATCTACCTTTTCGGTTATCATCTCGAGAGAACTCCAAAATTAAGCGTGCTAGTTTTGGAGTAGTCTTAGGATATGTGACCTCCTAGGAAGTAGTTTTCAAGATGTGTGCGAGTGAGGACAAATCACACTAAAAGGTCTCGTGTTGGTGTGTGGGGACAACTCTATCATTCCGTAGCGGTCTCGGGTCGTTATATTTTTCATTTAATTTATTGATTATGTTGAGTTTTACGTTTATCTTTAAATGATAAAATATCGTTAGAACTTGAATCATAAATATCATAAATAATTTAAGTTAATTAAATATAATAATGTAATAAAAATCATAAAAAGTATTAGTTATCATTATTATAAATATCATTTAATATTATATATATTTCTATCTTAAATAGGAAAAAAAATAATTTAAAAAATCACCAAATTTCAAAAAACTTACATATAAATAATTGTAATCCAAAATTTATAAACATTACGATGAATGTTTTCAATTTTTTTTTATAAACATGTTTACGCTCTAAGTTGTTTAACGAATATGATGATATATCATTCTCGTGGAGAATAAATACCATATCATCATTGTCACATGCAAAATTTTCAATTAAAAAAATATAAATATAATAAATATATTTATAAAAAATAAAAAGTATATAAAAATACAAAATACATACATGCATATATATATATTGAAACAGAAGATATGATCTAATCTAGGGATTAGAGATATATACACATATTTGTGTGTGTGTGTGTATATTTATCTTTTTAACGTATCATCGTCAATGGAAAATGTGTTTTTCCGATCATCGAGGTAATTATTCTTCTCGATCAATAATCTCAAGTTTCTTGAATCCAAACTATGGTTGTTTTTCTTTCAGTTTTTTTGTTTTTTTTTTTTAATTTTAAGGGGGTTTTTTTTATTCCCTGTTAATTTTCAAGAAATAATCATTTATAAAAAAAATATATAATCTTCTAGAAGCACTATCGATGAACACAATTATATTCAATAAACCCAATGACACCGAGTAAAAGATTTAAATTATGTATCTATTATGTTGAATACCATGGATCTTGTATAAATTTATAAGTCGATATGAAAAGCAGTTTTCATAATAAAATCTGTTTTAAAAAATACAAGTAAATACTATTAAAAAAACAAACAAACAGTATGTTGTGAAATGTATTTTTGTGTCTACATTTAATACATTTTTGTTGGACAATATTCACACATATATCATATAAAATAAAAATAACCAGTTAGCTTGAGAAACCAACATGTTTCTCAAAAAAGGTTTCTTCAAGGTAGATATTTCGCTAATCACCTCCAAAACAGAAAAACATATAAAGATATTTCGAGAAAAGAAACAAAAACTTTGGCAAGATTTTAAGCAGACTTTTGGCACGATACAGAGTAGATTAGCATAGCCTCCGCGTAAGGATTGTTGAAGTAGGAAAATGAATATGTGATTGGAAGAAAATCTAGATTTTGGAGGAACACAATATTATGTTAAATATTATGAATCATATTTATTTCCATTATATCTATATTTCCTTTTATTTCATTTGTTAATTTTCCTATAAATATGTGAGTTATTTTCATTGTAATGAAACAAAAAGAAGAAGAGATGTAGTAATAAAGTAATTCCGTTTATTTTCGTTTGTCTTATTATGTTTCCGTATTTTATTTTTCTACATGGTATCAGAGCCTGTTTCGATTTGCTCTATATCTTTTTTTATCAATCTCTTTTTTTTTTTTAGTTTTGGATATTCATATATCCAAATCGTTCAAATAGGAGTAAAAATCCCAAAATCAAACGAGGTGCTGTGACAAAAAGAAGTCAAACCTAAAAACTCTAAGATCAAGCGAGGTGCTATGACAAAAAGAGTTAAAGGTAGAACTTCAAAGTCAAGCGAAGTGATTTGAACATGGGTAATATTCTCTAAAAGAACTAAATTTGGTGTTTATGGATTTTTCAAAAGACAATGAAAATGTCTATGGATTTTTTTCGCATTATCTTTTCAAGATTGATTTTTGCATTCTTTCAAAATCAATCTTGAGGGAGAATGTTGAAGTAGAAAAATGAATATGTGATTGGAAGAAAATCTAGATTTTGGAGGAACACAATATTATGTTAAATATTGTGAATCATATTTATTTCCGTTATATCTATATTTTCTTTTATTTCATTTGTTAATTTTCCTATAAATATGTGAGTTATTTTCATTGTAATGAAACAAGAAGAAGAAGAGATGTAGCAATAAAGTAATTCCGTTTATTTTCGTTTGTCTTATTATGTTTCCGCATTTTATTTTTCTACAAGGATGACACGCATAAATCGAAAAATGATCCAAATTTTTTATCCAATAAGTAGTGGTTAACAGAGGATGACAAAGTCACCCTTTGGTTGCGAATTCGAATCCAGCTGGTGGGGCAGTGCATTTAGGTGCATTTTAAAGGCTATTTCCAGGATGTGGAAGATGTAGTCGGATCGAAAACCCAGTGAACTTTCTAGTTAACAAAAAAAAAGATTGTAAGCAGAAGAAATAATGAGTGCAATAGTAAATGTTGACACATGAGAACAATATTTTTTTTTGTCAAAATTTTGTTTAGATGACGATACGTGACAAACATGAGAACAATGTTTTAATATCAGAAGATGATACTTTCGAGAGTATATGACCTGCAATAATTACCAATAACATGGAGAACGTTAAGAAGCAATACAATCAGTAGATAAAGATATGTCACGTTGGAGAATTTGGTGACGGTGGAAAGAAAAGTTTCTGCTTTTATTCAAACGTGGTTCTATGTATATATACAAGTTTCATACCTTGACCTAGTATATGAGAAAAGGAAACCCAATATATGATACAATAGTTTCCTTATACATTGTATAGTCTATTACCCCCCTCTTTCATTGTAATGAAACAAGAAGAAGAAGAGATGTAGCAATAAAGTAATTCCGTTTATTTTTGTTTGTCTTATTATGTTTCCGCATTTTATTTTTCTACAAGGATGACACGCATAAATCGAAAAATGATCCAAATTTTTATCCAATAAGTAGTGGTTAACAGAGGATGACAAAGTCACCCTTTGGTTGCGAGTTCGAATCCAGCTAGTGGGGCAGTGCATTTAGGTGCATTTTAAAGGCTATTTCCAGGATGTGGAAGATGTAGTCGGATCGAAAACCCAGTAAACTTTCTAGTTAACAAAAAAAAAAAAGATTGTAAGCAGAAGAAATAATGAGTGCAATAGTAAATGTTGACACATGAGAACAATATTTTTTTTTGTCAAAATTTTGTTTAGATGACGATACGTGACAAACATGAGAACAATGTTTTAATATCAGAAGATGATACTTTCGAGAGTATATTCATATATCCAAATCGTTCAAATAGGAGTAAAAATCCCAAAATCAAACGAGGTGCTGTGACAAAAAGAAGTCAAACCTAAAAACTCTAAGATCAAGCGAGGTGCTATGACAAAAAGAGTTAAAGGTAGAACTTCAAAGTCAAGCGAAGTGATTTGAACATGGGTAATATTCTCTAAAAGAACTAAATTTGGTGTTTATGGATTTTTCAAAAGACAATGAAAATGTCTATGGATTTTTTTCGCATTATCTTTTCAAGATTGATTTTTGCACTCTTTCAAAATCAATCTTGAGGGAGAATGTTGAAGTAGAAAAATGAATATGTGATTGGAAGAAAATCTAGATTTTGGAGGAACACAATATTATGTTAAATACTGTGAATCATATTTATTTCCGTTATATCTATATTTTTTTTTTTATTTCATTTGTTAATTTTCCTATAAATATGTGAGTTATTTTCATTGTAATGAAACAAGAAGAAGAAGAGATGTAGCAATAAAGTAATTCCGTTTATTTCGTTTGTCTTATTATGTTTCCGCATTTTATTTTTCTACAAGGATGACGCGCATAAATCGAAAAATGATCCAAATTTTTATCCAATAAGTAGTGGTTAACAGAGGATGACAAAGTCACCCTTTGGTTGCGAGTTCGAATCCAGCTAGTGGGGC